CTCCTTTTCGCTTGTGTACAGGTTACCCCAAAAACGGTCGCTGCTTTGAAAAAGGACGTTCGAATAAAAATTTTCCGCGACCGTGATAGAACAGATGTAACAATAGCACAAGGGGGTTTTTTGGACGCAGTCTTGTCATTGGCACTGCCTGATGAAAATTTTTAATGGGAATGTCTTTGCTCATGCGCGGAACATTTGTTTGATGTTTCTTTTCATTCAGTTAGCACGATGACCACATCGCTCCACCTCGCGACTTTCAGTGCTCATGTTCCTCGAACAAGACTCACCTGCGATTCGAAACCATCCCTACTGAGTTTATAAAGTTTGTCAAACCAACCGTCGTGGTGTTATTACGTTGTGAATGAGAACTATTACACATAATTGAAGAAAACATAACTAGAGAACCGCCTTTTGAAACAAGCCAAACAATTCAACGTCAGCAACAATGGCGGGGCAGTTTTAATGCGCGACTACTCGTGTTTTCGGCTTCGCTACTTTCGCAAGGGCGCAGTTGCCGAGAAGATTGTTGCCAACCGGCGAAAGTTAATTTACTGCATTCCCCTGAAGTTGGCCAACACAGTTGCCCCAAAAAATCTGAAACAAGTGTCAAAAAATCACAAATCATTTGTTCCAACTTGTTCCACATTTGTTCCAATTTGTTCCGTAATACAGCAGTCGACAGCCGGATTATCGTAAAACGATAACAGAACGGCCAACTTCACATACTGCACATCTCGACGAAAAGTGCTCACGGCTGTTCAAAATGACTTGCTGAACGTTGTTCCAAGCTTGTTCCAACTTTGCTTTCACAAAATCCCGAAAGAATAGCGCCATTCGTTTCTAAGGGTTCGGTTAACTTCCTAGATATTAAAATGGGTGTAATTGGCTTGTGACCACCCCAATTTGATGTAAAATCGTTTGTTCCGTGTTGTTCTAAGTTTGTTCCGACTCTATTTTTACAACACCCGGACAGAATAGCGCTATTTGTCTCTAAGGGCACGGCTAACTTCCTAGACCATGAAATGAGCATATTTGACCTGTGTTTAACCCAATTTGACGTGAAATCGTTTGTTCCGTGTTGTCCTGTGTTTGTTCCGTGTCGTTGACCTGGTCTTAGGCGTTCTATGGAACAGTCCGAGGGTGTTCGGAGTGATCTGGACCGATTTCGACCAGGTTTCGGAACATTTCGCTCTTATGTGGGGTTGTTCCAACTTTGTTTAAATAACACCCGGACAGAGTAGCGCTATTTAAATTAAAGGGACCGGCTAACTTCCCAGATAAAGAAATGCGCATATTTGACGTGTGACCACCTATATTGAATGTAAAATTGTTAGTTCCGTGTTGTTCAAAGTTTGTTCTACCTATGTTTCAATGATACCCCGACAGAATAGCGCTTTTTGTCTCTGAGTTCTGCGAACCTTCTAGATAGAACAATGTGTATTCTTAACTTCTGACCACCCCCATCTGATGTGAAATGGTTTGTTTTGTGTTGTTTTAAGTTTGTTCCAAGTATGCCCTGGCGTTTTTCTGGGCGTGCTGAACGCATTGTAATGCGTTCATACTGCGTTCACGTGCATTCCCGTGCGTTCTGCTGCGTTCCAATTGCATTCACGTGCATGCCGGAACGCATTGCCACGGAACACACAAGGAACGCATTGCGAACACACTCCTTATGCGTTCCAAGTGCGCTCCAGAACACACTTACTTCGTGCGTTCCCCTCAGCTCCGGAACGCACAGGGAGTGCACTCGGTCGCGTTGTGGATCGCACACATGTGCGTTCCGGAACGCATGGCGGCAACGCGTTCCCAATGCGTTGCTTCTGCGGTGCAGAACGAAGTCGGACTTTACGCGGCTCCCTGACGCTCCTTCCCCTCCACGTTCACTGCTGAATGACTTGTCATCCTGCACGTCGGGAAGAGTTGTGCACAGCTACAGCTACCCTGTGCACAACCACCCGAACCACCACGGAAGACCCGATGGCCAACATTGATGAACTACCTTTGAAAACTCTATGAACTCATGCCAAAGCGAGTCGGTTGCTTCGCTAAATACATAACGGGTTTGCAACCCGGGACGCTCTTACTGATGTTGTATTATTTTAATTGTCCGGGCGATCGTTTCATCTGAATGCACTACAAACTTAACTGTCTTTACCAAGTACACACTTACAAATGCATGCTTGGCAAGTACGAACTTGCCAATGCCTATGCTTAGCATAAAGTTATACGGCGCCAAGCATGCGTTTAGAAGTGTGTACTTGCAAGCATGCATTTGTAAGTGTGTACTTAGTAGACAGTTAGGTTTGTAGTGTGTTGTCGATGTGTGCATATCGGGTCCGTTCACAAACTATTTTGATCAATCATATTTAACACCCCGTGATACGCTGTTGTTCTGCAGAGTGGTTTCACTACCCACACGCAGAAAAATAATTAGCGTCCCTTGCTAAGATTTAGCTCCTGCAGGTAAGAATCTTAGCTATATATGGACAGCTCAGAACTTAGCAGCAGGAGCTAAGAATCTGAGCAGACTCGAATTAGCTGCGACGCTAAGAAAGTTAGCAGCCACAAGAAGAAGAATTAGCCCATCTGCTCAGGTTCTTATCATGCCAGCTAAGGTTCTTATCGTGCCTGCTAAGGTCTTAGGGGACGAATTCGCATATCTGCTAAGCAATTAGCATCGCTGCAGCCCCCTACCCTAGCACCCATTCCTCTAAAGGGGTGCATGCCAAGGAAAACACTGCCTTAATAAAGAAAAAATGTGGAATGAACAAACAAGTTTTATTATATCATAATCCTTAAGACTAAACTTCACAGTCCACTGACTGAACACACTTTTTGGCAGGATATTGAATCACATTTCTTTCGTAAGCACTAACACCACACAGTCTACTGACTAAGTACACTTTTTGACAAGAAAGACACAGCATATGGCACGCTTATGATAACAAGACATTGCAACACTTTAAAGTGTGTATTTAAGAACTACTATCTTTTCTCCTGAGGACATCTGGTACAAAGGCAGAGGAATAGGATCTAACAGCTTTTCTTGTTCAATAGCAAACCAATTTATAACATTGTCAGTATGCTCTACTTCATATCCTCTAACTCCACTAAAATAGCCAATAGTATTCAAAGCAGAACAAAGAAACAGTGGTTTCTCTTCACATACAATAATTAACTCCAATTCTGCAAACTTAAATAAACCTATATCATCCACATCAAAAACAAGAATTTGCTTAGGTGCATAGGTAGTGCCTTTGTAAGTAGCCCAAGTTGTAACAGTTTGCATAGGTTCCTTAAAAATATGATCTGGAAGAGTTAGGCTGAAAGAAGGAAAAGTTTCCAAGTCAACCAAATTAATAAAGTGACAGGGACCATGCGTCATCAACTGCCTAATTGAGGATTTACTAACACATCTGTAAGCGAAATTCAGTTGGTGTTTTATGGCTACTGTACGAGATAAATTTACACGAGACATACATGCATTTGCTACCATCCTGGCTTCTCGATGCTTAGCTTCTTCACGAATAGTTGAGAACAAGTAATATGGTCCCATCAATTTTAGTTTCCTTGGGTAATGAGTTCCCAGATGATGCTTGGGCTTCAAATCTTCTTTTGTAAGTTCAACATACAATTTGTGATGTTCTTCCATTTTATGAGACAAGATAACTGAGGCATCTTTTGGCAACCCCTTAGCATTTAAGATACTTGTGATGTCATTCAAAAGAAGATAAAGGTCATAAAAGGGATCACCTTCTGGCACCATATCATAAACAATAAGCCCAAAAATCCTGATGAAGAGTGTCATTTCAGATCCAGTCATTTTCAGTTTATCTTTAGACAAAAGTCTATCTAAATTTATGAGAGGTGGTCTATTATCACCATCAATACCAAGATCAAGGGCATATAAACGAGTATTCAAAGTTGAAATGAACATATTATTCAACTGATGAAAATGCTTCGAAACAGGAACCATGGTATAATGGGCAATTCCTTCAATAAAGTCATGAAAATAATCCAGGCTAATATCTGTTGGACACTCAAATGAAGGGATCTCATTAAAGACACATTCTTCTTTGACACCAGTAACTTTTGGCTGATCAATTCTCACATCATTTGCATAACTAACTGGGGTTCTAAGCAAAGCAGGATCTTCAACAAACATTTTCTTTGCAAGATTATTTGGACAAGTGCAAACCCTGCAGTAATGAATAGCCGAAAACCCTTCCTGGAAGCCACAGATACTATTCAAAGCTTTATTGTCCCCCAAAATTAAGCCAACTGCCAAAAACATAGTAACTTCACCCCGTTCAGGTAGATTGAGCTTCACACCTTCTGTTTCAAGCAACACTAGTTCACGAATGACAGGCTGAAATGTTTTCTTATTACCATAGACAGTTCTGTTATCCCCATCAAATAAAGCAGCAAGGAATATGTTTTCTAATCTAGAGTTCCATTCAGAGGGCAATACTGGAATGTGTACATAAGAGCATCCTAACGGTTCACAATGAGGACCCAAGGCACTATTTGGCTCTACTTCATCGTAATAAAAATTAATAGGAAAAACAATTGCATCATCACTAAACCTGGCACGCTTTCTTTTCCAAATTTCACCTTGCACCATATTGCATATCCAGTCTCTCTCTTCCTGAAGAGCTAACATATTAGCCAAAGTATCCTCAAAAGCATCAGGCAGCTCAAAGAAATTTTTTAACAAGGGTTGAAGAGGTATTTTTTGACCAGGGACAGGTCTCATTTCAAGAGTAACACCTTTTTTCGATTTAACTCTTTCTTCGCGGTAGTCAATTGGATATAAAACAGGTGGTATGTAATGTCCACAAGATTCAAAGTACTGCAGCCTTTTGTACTCAGTTTGAAGGGGATCAAAAGGATGCCTCAAACGATCAAACATATCTTCAATTTCAGATCTTGCCTCTACCATATTTGAATCAAGGGATGACATTAGGGGCGTTCAAATATGACGTCACACTTTTTGGGGGGGGAGGGGTAAGCCAAAATATGACCAAATGTGACCGTGGGGAGGGTGGGGCAAAGGGCACGTGACATCAAATTCCGTCGTTACTGCTTGAGGTGATAATAATGCTAAATTTGAAAGGCGCGCGCAATCCCCGGCGTTCTCAGCGCATGCGCTTGGCGCGATCTAGCGGCAGAACGCGGTACTACGCGCAGGCTTTGCGAGGTTGCCGCACGCGTCGCAACACGCCCACCATCTGAGTGACAGTGACAACTTTTTAACCTTCGTAAACACGCGGTGTTGTGGGCGCATCAACATGCCAGTGGACAAAGACAAACTGTTCCAGAGCCTTTTTGGTGTTTTCAAGAAAAGCCATTGTGGAAAGCCTGCTGGCAAAGTGCAGGCGTTGTGTGTTGCCGAATGGAAACAGATACGCCAAAAGTGCAAGCAAGATGACAGTCTCTTTGAGGCCGAAGTGAAGGCAGTGATGGCTCGCGAACAAGCGACAATAAGAAAGGGCAACATACTGAATTACTTGTCCAAGGTAAGGATTTTTTATTGGCGGAGTATCTTGCGAATTGACGCGGGGATTTGAGGTTATGTTGCCCTGCGTTCACGCCGTATAGTTCTTTCGGGGAGCAAGGGCCATTTTCAGCATGTCATGTCTATCATAGCGTTTTAATTCATTTTCAAAGGGCCCTTCAACCCCCTCTTCCACTATCACTCCACCACCGAGGCCGACTTCGTCCACAAATTCGCCTTCAACTTCGGCTTCGGACAACGCCAGTGACTCGCCTGCCGCTGCTGATCGCGCCGCCGGCAATGAGGGACCAGAATCGCAGGAATCGGACGTGGACGACCCTGAAAGTGAAGGTATTTCACAGGATTTCATTTTCTAAAATTAAAAAAATACGTTTAGGCAACGCGTCGAGCGTACAGGCGAGCCGCAGGGAGTACAATTTCGCTATTTTGAGCTGGTCGCGGTACGGCGCCTGTAGAGTAGACAACCCAACGCACTTGAGGGTGTTTGGGGCTGCGTGCCCTCGCGGCGCTATTGACATTCGTGACGCTGAATTTAAGTTTTCGTCGTCTTTCGCAGGTTTGGCACGCCGCACAGTGCGGCGAAATCGAAAAAAAGGTGGCCAAAATTCATTTTTCCAAAGTTTTCTTTTAGCTTTTGTGACCTATGGTGGTCGAAGTACAGTGTCTGGGCTACATATTACTGTGCAACTTAGCCCCCGACTGAGCGTGGGCTCCGAGAAATGATGCTTCAAAACTACCGGTTCTGGCGCGACTCGTCATGGCGCGTCGAGAGCGCGTATGCGATGGCTGTTTTCAAGCGTCTCTTATTTGTTGTGCGAGTGATATTTCTTTAAACCCCGACCATGAGGCGATAGCTCTAGCCTTCTTCTTTCTTACAGTACTCGTGGATTTATCATTTCGCTGATAGTTTATGAATATTATCGATTTTTCCTAACCTCATAACCTTGTGAGACGCTTTAACCTATTAGCAGATTTTAAATTGAGATACAAAACGATTGACAAACATTGACGTGCCGTGCGACATTGGAAATGAAAGTTTGGACTTTCCTCTATGCAGTCGCGAAGAGTTTTCTATCCCGTTTTGTCCCGTTTTATGGCAAAACGCCTTTATTTGTACGGCAATTTCACCGGCCCGTCATATTTACAGCCTTGTGGACGAGTCGGTACTTATGTAACAATCGTAGCAGGACCTGTCAAATGGGGTTCCACTGTTGTTTGAAGGGTCAGTGAATCCGTTCATGACCATAATTTTGAGAAAACAGGGGCGGAACCACAAAAAAAGGGGGGGTAAATTTTGAAAATTGTTCAAATTGCTTGAAATTTTGTATTCGGGGGTTTTTGGGGTCCCTGAATCCGTTTCTGGCATTTATTTTGACATTCTAAGAAAAATTGAACTTTATCCCTCTTGAACGCCTTGATCCGCCCCTGGTATCTAAAAATTAAGGTCAGAAATGGATTTGGAGACCCCCAAAACCCCATAACACAAAATTTCATTCAGTTTGAATTTTTTTTTAAATTTACCCCCAATAATATTTCTGGTTCCGCCCCTGCAGTATCAAAATTAAGCTAAGAAATGGACTCAGCGACCTCGAAAACGTACGCGGGTGAAAAATCGTCGTCGTACGTTTGACAGGAGCAGTTTAATGAATAATGTCCACCTTTTTCGAAATCGGCCGCACTGTGCGCCGGCGGCAGAAATCGAGGCGGAAACCAGCCCAGCAGGAACTTGCAGATCAAATCCGCCTCCTGGAGAGTGAGCTGAACTGCAAGTTACTGGCGCGCCGATCTGGCCTAGCCCCTGACGACAACGAAAAGCAAATTTCACAGGTATTTTTTTAAGCCGCGACTGGCAATACTCTCAGCGCTAAAACCACATGTCATGCTTATTTTGGTTTTTGTTTTCACAGTTGACCAAAGAGCTGGACGAGTTGAAAAAGAAATTGAAGAAAAAACAAGATGATGTGAAACGGGCGCAGAAGAGCAGATCCAAGAAGAAAAAGAAAATGGAGGCACTGTGCGAAGAATTCCCCGAAATTAAGGCTCAGCTGGGCCAGAATCCCTCAGCCGGTAGACCATCCATTCTATCGCAGCAGCCCGAGCTACTCAAGACCATCGTGGAGATCGCGATGTTTTCTAGCGGGGCGGAAGAGAGGCGACGCGACGAGAGGCTCAACACGTGCCAAACGCTGGATGAGCTGACTGCCGAGCTGAACAGGCGTGGTTTCGAGATAAGTCGGAGTGGAGTCTACCTTCATCTTCTCCCTCGCGACCCGACTACAAGGGAGGGCAAGCGGCACGTCAAGACAGCTCCTGTGCGTCTCGTGAGGGCTCAAAACAGCACCCACAAGACCCACGCCGATGGTAAATTTGCGACCTGTACCATCCGTTGCCTGGAGACCTTGGCGGGGTACCTAGGTCCAAATCAAGTCCTTTTCATGTCCTTGGATGACAAAGCCCGCGTTCCGCTCGGGAAGACGGCCGCGAAGGTGCAGGCGCCCATGCTCATGACCCTCGAGTACAAGGTGTCCCTGCCGGACCACGATTTTCCCGTCGGCCCGCGGCACAACCTCATCCCCAGCGTCGCAGCCATCATTGAGATAAAGGAAGACCTGCTGGGGAAGCCAGAAGCTGTCACATACTCTGGGCCAACATACATATGCATCCGAAGCGGAAAGCATTCGTCATCAACAGCAAACACGCACGCCGACGATTTCCGCCGAATGGCCGACATGGACGAGTACAAGAGCTGGTTCAAGACGACGGATGGTCGCATGAAGCCCGTGGTCATCATGACTGTGGACGGGGGCCCAGACGAGTGTCCGCGGTACAAGAAAAATATTGCCTTTGCCGTTGACCACTTCAAAAGGAATGATCTAGATGCAATTTTTATTGCAACGAATGCACCTGGCCGCTCTGCCTTCAACCGGGTGGAACGCCGTGTGGCGCCTCTAAGCAACAGGATGGCCGGGATGATCCTCCCACATGACTACTACGGCACCCACCTGGACAGCCAAGGGAACACCGTGGACACCGAGATGGAACTCAACAACTTCAAGAAGGCAGGGGAAACCCTTGCAGGAGTGTGGTCCGGCATGACCATCGACGGCCACCCTGTACTGGCGGAGTACATTGAGCCCGGTGGGGAGTGCGACCTGCCTGACGCGGAGGACCAGCACTGGTACGCCACGCATGTGCGCGAAAGTCATACATGGCAGGTTGTACGATGCAGCCCCTCGGAGTGCTTGGACCTTTCCGCAGTGGTCTGGCTTGTGCTCAATGGCTTTATGCCCGCACCAATAAAAGTCCAGCAGACAAACCGTGGAGTCTGTGCTGTGGACCCAGACTTGGAGGATGGGCATTTTATGCCACTGTTTCCTCGCCTTGCCTCAAAGGTGGACCTCAGCCACATGGGATTCAAGCGCATCCCATACGATCTGTACTGTCCCACTGTAAGGTCAAAGCTTGCAAACCGCATTTGCCGTACTTGTGGCATATACTTTGCCAATGAAGAGAACAGGAAGCTCCACTGTAGGGTTATGCATGGCACCGGCGTGGACAAGACGACGGCAAGCCGGTTGCGTCCATCCTCTGTCATCGGACGTCGGGGCCCAAAGAGGTCCTCTGCAAGGTCTTGTACGACCACGAGACGACCAATGTGGAGTGGCTCGACGAGGATGAGGTGGACGTGGTCGGCGTCACGGTCGACATACCAGCGGTGGAAAGTGTATGCCCCATAATCCCATCTATTGGAGAGTGGGTTGCTTCCCCATGGGACCAAGAATCCTAGTCAAATTGAGCTTTTTTGTATTTATTTTACAAATTGTTTTGTCCTGATTTATTTTTATGTCATTTTATTCTATGGATATGTTGTAATAATGTTTAACGTTAGTAATAATATTAACGCTTCTTTTATGAAGAATGACTCACTAATGTTACAAAACATTAAGAATTTGTGTTTATGTTTAAGAAAGAAACTCTTCTTTTCTGTTTTTCATAATAAAACAGGTTTTTTTCACTTATTTCATTTTGTTTTATCGCCTTTTCCTTCATAGGAAGCCGCCTACAACATGAAAATAAACCCTTTCTTAAAAATTTAGAGCGAAATTTATCAATATGGGGAAAAAGTGACATCACAAGGGGGGGAGGGGGCAGCTCAAATCGTGACCAGCTGTGACAGAGGGGGGGAAGGGGGCGAAAAATGAGCCTAAAAAGTGTGACGTCACATTTGAACGCCCCCTTACAAGCTTCTCCATATGCTCGAAAAAGGGACTAGTGACATAATTAGAAAACTCATTTACAACTTTAGTAACTAGATTTCTGGGAAAGGCAGGGTTTGCATAAAATTTAGCTACAATGACATCTTCTTGGTCAAGTAATAAATCTTTGGCATCAGCAGAAGTGATGCGATTGACATTAACATTGACATTAACATTACATTCATCTGCAACATTATCATCTTGAGCATCTCTCTCTTGTTGATCTAAAAATACAGCAAGGCGAGTCGTATTATCATCATCAGGTGTTCTCTCTGAAAGCACTTGAGCACGAAGTTCAGGAGCAAAGATTGGTATGTGATGCGTCAGAATCAAATGCTTACGGTAGGAGTTGTAAACATTGTATCTTCTACTACAGAGACGATCATTCTCACAAGCAATATTGCAGACGAACGTAGTACAATTTTTATGAGAGCAATGAAAATGAACATTTAATGAACTAATATCAGCAAATTTTCTGCCACATTGGCAGCATGGCACATTAACCATCCTACAATTAAAACCTGCAAAAGTAAAGTAAAAGAAACTAGTTACTTGACAGATCCAAATAGCATCACAAATAAAATGCACATAAGAGACTTAAAATGAAAATAAAATAAAAAAGTTCCGCCAAGGCAAGCTTAGCAAAGCGGTCTTGCCGTGGACCGGCCGGGGAAGCCGGGCAGAGAGGGGGCAAGGAGGGAGAGGGGGCTGTGAGGAGTGGGGACTGGCGCGGGGTGGCGGCGTGGCGGCGCAGGCGACGCACAGTGCGGCGAAATCGAAAAAAGGTGGCCAAAATTCATTTTTCCAAAGTTTTCTTTTAGCTTTTGTGACCTATGGTGGTCGAAGTACAGTGTCTGGGCTACATATTACTGTGCAACTTAGCCCCCGACTGAGCGTGGGCTCCGAGAAATGATGCTTCAAAACTACCGGTTCCGGCGCGACTCGTCATGGCGCGTCGAGAGCGCGTATGCGATGGCTGTTTTCAAGCGTCTCTTATTTGTTGTGCGAGTGATATTTCTTTAAACCCCGACCATGAGGCGATAGCTCTAGCCTTCTTCTTTCTTACAGTACTCGTGGATTTATCATTTCGCTGATAGTTTATGAATATTATCGATTTTTCCTAACCTCATAACCTTGTGAGACGCTTTAACCTATTAGCAGATTTTAAATTGAGATACAAAACGATTGACAAACATTGACGTGCCGTGCGACATTGGAAATGAAAGTTTGGACTTTCCTCTATGCAGTCGCGAAGAGTTTTCTATCCCGTTTTGTCCCGTTTTATGGCAAAACGCCTTTATTTGTACGGCAATTTGACCGGCCCGTCATATTTACAGCCTTGTGGACGAGTCGGTACTTATGTAACAATCGTAGCAGGACCTGTCAAATGGGGTTTCACTGTTGTTTGAAGGGTCAGTGAATCCGTTCATGACCATAATTTTGAGAAAACAGGGGCGGAACCACAAAAAAAAGGGGGGGTAAATTTTGAAAATTGTTCAAATTGCTTGAAATTTTGTATTCGGGGGTTTTTGGGGTCCCTGAATCCGTTTCTGGCATTTATTTTGACATTCTAAGAAAAATTGAACTTTACCCCTCTTGAACGCCTTGATCCGCCCCTGGTATCTAAAAATTAAGGTCAGAAATGGATTTGGAGACCCCCAAAACCCCATAACACAAAATTTCATTCAGTTTGAATTTTTTTTTAAATTTACCCCCAATAATATTTCTGGTTCCGCCCCTGCAGTATCAAAATTAAGCTAAGAAATGGACTCAGCGACCTCGAAAACGTACGCGGGTGAAAAATCGTCGTCGTACGTTTGACAGGAGCAGTTTAATGAATAATGTCCACCTTTTTCGAAATCGGCCGCACTGTGCGACGACGACAGACGAACCACGACCATGCAGTCCCCTCCGAGCGCGCTGAATGGATGGATGGGTGGATGGGTGGATGGATGGGATGAGTGGGATCGTATGCAGAGCTAGAAGCGGTAGCAAGACCGCTTAAAAAACATTTGGGTAACTAAATGGATGACAACCCTCCGAAACTCTAAGTCTAAAGAACTAAACTAAGAAAATCTTAAGCAACGCAGTGCCAACAATTACAAAAATTATCACAAAACAAAATACTGATAAATATGAAAGAAAGGAGGACTGTCACAGAACACACTACTTGCTCTTGTAAGCATCAAAGTCTTTGACCAGCTTCGTGATGCCCTTCTCCAAGTTGATCTTGTAAATTGCCCTCTCGATGAATAGCCATGACTTCTCACTCTCTCTTGGATACTCAGCCTCAAGAGCATGGATGATCTTGAATGTCTAATCGAAGGCTTTTAATGGGTTTTCCACTTCATACAAAATCTTGTTGATTCTAATAAAGGATTTCGTGACAGTATCTTCATCCTGACCCACTAGTATCACTCGAGGAGTCAAATTCATACCAAAGGGCTCATACTTGTCCCTAAGGAGCACTTTGATGGTGGATTCGATGTCACCCAGAGACTGTAACACATGAAAAAATCACACAAATATAAAACCCAACACATAAACACGTTTGAGAATAATAACCCATTCAAAGATAACATACCGGAACAATTAGAATCAGTGTGTCTCCAACTTCTGCACGAGAAGGTCTGAAAACCTTCTTTCCTTTCCTTGCAATTGTGTTCACTGGGAATAGGTAGCTCATAGCCCTGATGGTCTGGATTTTCTTTCCCTCTGCAAAATATGGAGTCACATGTACCACAAGTTTTCTCTACAACATAAGAACAAAAGAAATAGAAAAATACACACCACTTGTAAGTGCTGAGTCAATGAGTTCTTTGCCTTCAGTGTTGACCTTCGATTCAACAAAGGCTGCAAAAGCTGGCCATTCTAAAAAGAAATTCATAGATGTCTCTGGAAACTTGCTGTCATAATCTGATTCAATCTGTAAAAAGTAAGGCATTAGTACATAAAATATAACACCAGATTGTCATCATACACATATTGAATAAAAATTGAAGCCTATTACCAAGTAAAATCCTGATTTGTCCTTTAATGCTGGATACTCCTCAAAATATTCATGAATGGATTGTTTGGTTCTGTAAAACTTGTTGTAGCGCCCTGTGTGTGTTTCTTTCCAGAGTTCTAAAACTTTTGACCAAGGCTGCCGGTTATTACTTAGCCAAAGAAGCTTTTCAAATAAAACTGGATCAACATTTTCCTGACCTGGAAAGTAATATCAAAACTCGTTAAAGTAAGTTGTGAAAAACAATTAATTCATACAATTCAAAGAAATAATGCTCAAAGAATGCTTTTTACAACAAGTATCACTTACCATTGACAACAACAACCTTCTCTTTAGAAGTACTTGGTGATTTGAGAAGGTTTCCCTTGTGCATTTCCCTCCTCATATGATAGTACCTCTTGAGAAGGAAACCTCGACCAACAGCCTTCTCACGATTGGCTGACTCTTTGGACGGGTCCCAATCCGCCTGAGGAAATGAAATATGCATAATATTAAAACATAAAAAAAATATAAAGCTGATTATTGAAAAAAGAAAAGAAAGCTTAAAATTAATACATAATGGAACTGCATGAGGGCAACTAGTATGTAGACATTACCTTGACTTCAGTAGGGAATCTCTTAAGAATTAGTTTCGTTAACTCCGCTATGTCATGATCAGGAAGTCTTCATGAAAAGAAAGACAAATAAACAAAAGGTTAAACAGATTGTCATAAAATTCTTTAAGATAAAAAAAAGTATCCAAAGAAAGTAAACATGATCAAGGGAAAATTAACATACTTGCGGTCAATGTCAGACTTGAGGTATTCGCCTAAAATACAGTCAGCGAGATGATTCCTATGAGTCTCTCTTAAATCATTGTTTTTCGCATAATGAGTGAGAACAAGTTTTCCCTGGAGTCCCCCATTCTCAAGAATACGATCCAAGTCCTGAAAAGTAGAAAGAACCATTATACAGATTAGTTACAGCCGTTCACCAAACAAGCATAACAGAGGGCAGCAAAAATATAAATTAGTTGACGATACGCACCATGTCCCTGATATGAATTGGTGTGCCATCCACCGAACGCTTCCTCGAGGAGGACTGAGATGAAGCAGCATTGGAGGACTGAGATGAAGCAGCATTGGAAACACTTCGATCAGGTCCAGGTTGTTGAGAAGCATGAGTGGACATATTCTTGTCAGGCGAAGGCTGAACTGACGCAAGACTTGCCACACCATCTTCTGACACTTCTAGACTCAGTTCCTCCCCAGGTTGCAAATCATCCAATTGTGCAACTGAAATAAGAAATTGAAGCATAATGTAGCTTAACATACAAATATAACAAACACACAAAAGTAGAAGTGTTCATACCTCTCATTAAGTTCGATTTCTCCAATAAAACCTGTATGGGAGTCTTTTGCAGAACAACCTGCGACTGCACACCACTGGAACAATGCACACTACAACAAAACCAATTAAAGGTCTTGAACGATATTGTCAAACCCAAACATATTGTTGTTGTTTTTATTACTTGTACTCACCAGTACCTCCGTCCTGAATCGTACAAGGTTGTCCATAAATGTGGCCCTGGGCCCCACCTTCGGGAAGAAGGACTCCAACATTCCATTTGTTAGGGTTAACAGAACCCCAATACTGAGCACCTCTTCATCTGCAACAGAAATAAACGTTGTTATGAAGATCCAAACCAATGCAAAGGGAACTTCGCATGCCAAGCCCAGCAAAAGCAAGGTCCAGTGGGAAGGGCCAGAACGTGAATTAATGAATTTCCGAACAAGGTTATTGCACTTTCACAATATTGTGATTCGCAATGAGAAGCAGGCTCGAAGTTCCAAGATCAATGAGAGGCGTTGTTGGCTAGGCGAGAAGCCGGCCGGCCGGCCCCAATCCGTTAGGTTATGGTACAACGCAAACGGTGTCGCAAGGGCCGTCGCAGTCGCATGGTCGCTAAAGTTGGAGTAGAGCCAACTTCTTGCGACAAGCTTGGGACCGATCTTGCGATCAGAAAGTTTAAGATCGGTGGACAAGGAGACTCATGGGGAATATACTCGAGTTGCAAAGCAAAGCCTACGCCACATGATGAAGCGCCCTTTCGCACTGACGTACCTTCAAACTTTTTGATGCAATCATCTGACACACGCCTGCTCACAATCCTAACTCACAGAAATTCAAACCAGACGCAGCTCCCTGCGATCCGGCCGGCGAGGCGACGAACAACTAGCTGGCGCCTGTTGCTGTCTTGGCGGCTGAGTCTGACAATATCACTGCGCGGGCCGTGAACCCGCGAAATCCATCCGCCACACAACATAGTTCCGAAGGTTTCGAATGAAACCATGCTAACTACCGCGCCGTCTTCAAACGAACGAAGAGTTTAATTTTTTTTAAACACAATAGAACTATTCAGAACTCTTGCAGGAACTAATGAAACAAATAATCACTCGGATGTTAAGAGTGCAGGAATTCTGCTAAGGATTAGCCGCTGGACTGCTAAACCTTAGCAGAATCAAAGAAAACTTATCATCTGGTGCTAATCCTGCTGCTAATTTTCTTAGCACCACTTCCTAAGATATTTTAGCAATATAGATAAGGTTTAGCTTCACGTCTAAGACTCTAAACCACGCAGCTAAGGATGCTCTGCTAAGGGGTCTTAGCTGGACAGCCAAGTTATTTTTCTGCGTGTACCCCTAGGTAGGTGATACTCCCTTCCTCACCCAATTTTGGGCGAGGAAGCCTCGCCCAAAATTGGGTATTGATCATGACTTTTTCGTTCTCAGTGTAGTGTGTGCTCTGATGTTTGCTTGCCAGCATGTGCTCCAATGTTTGCTGCTTTGCACGTGCTAATTTTTGCTAGCTGGCTTCTAGTTCTGATTGCTGCATGTTAATTCACCATGGCGTGGAGGACATACTGGTCGTTTCTCTTAGTTTTAACCTTGTTTGAACATTCCCTTTTGTTTTCAGATACCAATGTGGAAGAACCAGGCGAGTCGCCAATGGTGAAAAGACTTGAGTCCTCCGACAAGGCTACATTTTACAATGATGGAACGGTCAACCGACACCACGACCACTTCTACGCGGTTGAAAATCCGCATTGTCTTGAGGAAACCAACCATCAGAATCGGTGGAAGGAGAATGTAAGGGCCGCCATTGCGGATGATCATGTTATCGGACCACATTTTATCGATGTCGATGTAAACGTCAATGGGGACGTTTACCTGGATTTTATGGAAAACATTCTTCCTGGACTACTTGAAGTACTACCGCCAGAGCTTCAGTGCACCATGTGGTTTAGGACGTCAAGGGGAAGGTCTTCGGGCCGGTGGAGGAGGAAGAGAGAATGAAGCCCAGATTGCAGAATGATGCAGAAAAGAAGAACGAGCTTGAAGACATGGAGGCGATCTTGAACCTTTTGGAAGAGGACCAAGCTTTAACTCAGCCCGACCCAGTGCAAACTCAGCCGGCACTTTTCGTATACGACAGAGAATGTGTCTCACCTCAGTTCCATTTAAACAGGAGGAGACCACGACCATGGCCCCCTCCTACCAGTTTCAACATTGGAGCAGCGACGGGCAGCCATCAACACCATGAGGAAGTCGCAAAGTCGCAGGCATTTAAGGCGATTGGTACCTGCGCTAAAAAAAGTTTTTTCAGTCTGCGTGTGTGCGCACTACTCCTAAACGGTTCGGCCGATCCAGCTGAGACTTTGCAATGCCATTAGGTATGTCCTTGGCTCGCCACACACCTTTGGTTATGCTCATGAGGACGAGTCTGGAGGACCACGCCTTTGCCCATGGAACATCTCTTCTTCACCAGTCCATCATGAAGCGTAACGAAGTGCTTAATAAGCACCCATAAGTCTACTCGCACCCATGATGACTATGTACAGAACGCTCCTTATTGCTTGAGTGATAGCGAAGCCCGTTACTCCAGTGCGGTTGAAAAGTTGTCTGTCTGTGTGTGTGTGCACTACTCCTCCTGAACGGCTCGGCCGATCTGGCTGGCTGACATTTTGCAGGGTCTTTAGGTATGTTCTTGGCTCGCCACACACCAACAGTGTTCACCGTACGACCATTTAGTCTTCTAGGCCCCACGGAGAAGACTGTACGGTGCTACGGAGAATACTGTCAGACCCTACGGAAGATATTGATGAGGAGACTACGGATAATCTTAACAAAATCATTAACAGGATTTTCCGTACCTTTTAGCCGCAGTGGATCCTTGTTCTGCGTCTAAAGGTACTGTTTGTTTCTGCGCAGCGTAACCGCCGAATCCTGACCCTTGCGCCGAGAGACGCAACCGGCGGCCGCACAGTGGGCGGAAAGACCGCTTTTGACGGGAAAAAGTCACTACAACCGAATTACTCGTCCGAAAAACATCATTCATCCGTATTCTATGTTTTTGGGGTCGCTGATTCTAAATCTGATCATATTTCGAACTTTTCAGGGGCGGATCCGGAGATATAAGGGGGGTAGATTTTAATTTTAGAGCAATCCGCGCTAAAACTCCGTACTCTGGGTTTTGGGGGTCGCTGATTCCAAATCTGGCCATGTCTTAAATTTTTCTGGGGCAGATCCAGTGATACAAGGGGGGTTAATTTTATTTTTCGAGCATACCGCGTCAAAACGTCCCATATCAGTTTTTAAGGGTCACTGATCCTAAATCTAGCCATGTTTCGAACTTTGCAGGGGCAGATTCTGTGAATCAAGGTGGGTGACTTTAATTTTTCAAGGTTTACTCAAGGTTTAAGAGGGTCATTATCATCATCCTGATTCTAAATCTGGCCATTTTTCGATTTTTCTATGGATCAACAGCGTAGGCCCCCTATTGTGGCAACAGTTTTTATTGCGTTACTTCTTCTACTTCTAATACAAGGCAACGACACGTTACAGGCCAAGCTACAGCACTGATCGACTCCGAACGCGTCATTGGTCCAGTTGTGTCGCCCCGATTCCGAATATACCCATATTTGCTGTCCTAAGTCGACAACACTGAAAAATCATTGTACAAGGGGAAGGGGAGGGCAGGGGAGGGGGGAACTGGGAGTGAACGGGAGGGGGAGGGGAAAGGGAGGGGGCCGGAGGCGGGAGGGGCATGCCCTGAGACGACCTATGCGATTGACATGCGTCGGGACCCGTTTTTTCGTACGCAAGCTCACACAAATCGAGCCATAAACTTCGGAAGGGCAGCTATGGGCAGCTAATTCTTTTTCCCTCCGAGAGAGCACTCTTTGCGGCCCCAAATGAACCTAGAGCGAGCGCGGGGCGACTTGAGGCTTTTTATGCCGCCCAAGGGAACTTTGGAATTTTGTGTTTTGTGACATGCAAATTTCAAACGGCCGTAGTTTTGTCAAATATACTCGAAATTACAATCCGAGGACAGTTTTGGAATCCTCGTGAATTGCAATTTCTAAAAACATCCGGGTTGTAAAATTAGATCTAAAACTGACTCAGTAAACGCAGCGAATGTATGCGCTTTTTGTTGCGATATTTCTAAGCGAATAGATACATGTGACTTTCAAGCCTTCTATGAGAAAAACGAAAAGACGCATGATAAAAACAAAGGCAGATTTGAATTCGGCACACTTTTTTGAGCTAGGAAAGTGCATTTATTGGAATCTACATAAGGGTTGCTGAACCCGACTTTTTCCCGTCAAAAGTGGTCTTTCCGCCCACTGTGCGGCGCCAGGCAGCCTCCGTGTGAGGGTCGGTGTGAGGCCGCCCGCGCTCGGACCGGAGCCAGGCTAACACGGCTCTGGCTGACGCGACGCGGAGCCCCTTTCCGTCGCTGTACGCGCCGTTCATCTCGCCCTTAATTCCTTAGGAGTTACAATTTTAAACTGAAAGTTAGAACAGTCCCCTTTCAAAAAGGAAAATATATGGAAAATATGTGTCAATATATGACTCCATATATGTTTCATGCATTGTCAATATAATTGTATCTTGCTCAATATATTGCAAATTATCTTGCGCAATACGTGGTTTATATATGGAGGTATATCTTGGTGCCCGTTAATATATGGTGCATATATTCCCCCATATAATATTATCTTCGCGAAATGTATGTTTCAATATCTGACACGGTGCCCGTCGTGGGATGGGGCAGGGTGAGGAGGGCAGACTTTTCAAGTACCTTTCCTTGAATCTTGGCACTGGATGTTGAAAGGCGGCTATATTTCTCAACATGATTTTATATTGTAAAATATATTGACGCCATATATTGAGCAGGGCAAAGGTTCTTTTCTATGCGTTTAAGTCTCCAAGAAATTTTGAGAAATCCTGTTTAACAAGTAAACTGGAACAGTTCGGAAATTTTAAACGTCTTTTTTGGGCGTAGCGCGAAAAGTTCTTCAAGGCGACCACGGTAGATCCACAATTGGATGTCCTCGCAAGGAGAAGTTTACATTCTTTTATAATAGTAAAG